CACATTTTATTTATCCATTCATCTGCTGACGGATGTGTAGGCCATTTTCAAGATTTAGCTATTGTGAGTTGTGCTGTTGTAAACATGGGTATGCCTGTATCCCAGCAATATAAGGTCTAACTTTTGGGGGAAGATACCCAGAAGGCATATAACTGGGTTGAATGGAGTTTCTAATTTTAGCTTTTTGAGGAATCTTCATTCTAATTTCCATAGTGGTTATACTAATTTACATTCCCACCACCTAGTTTACATTCCTATTGTATGAGGTTTCTTTTACCCCACAACCTTGCCAGGATTTCTTGTTTTTAGAGTTCTTAGTGATAGCCATTGTTTTTGGAGGAAGCTGAGATCTGAGTGTTGCTTTGAATTGCAATTCCCTAGTGGCCAAAGATGCGGAACATTTTTTTCATGTACTTGTTGGCCATCTGTACTTCTTCCTTTGAGAAGTGCTATTCTTTTCAATTACCCAGTTTTTGACTGGGGCTTTTATTTTGGAGGATCTAAGATTTTTAAATTCTTTATATACTCTAAGTATAAGTCCTCTGTCTGAGGATTAGCTAGCAAAACCTCTTTTCCATTTTATAGGTTGTCTTTCCACTCTGTTGGTTGTTTGCTGTACAGAAGCTTTTTAATTTGATGTGATCCCATCTGTTGACTCTTGGTGCTATTCCTTGTTCAACCACGTTTCTGTTCAGAAAGCCCTTGCCTATGTCTATGCCTGTGCCTATGTCTTCAGAACTTTAGACTATTTTTATCTTTCAGCAGACTATTTCTGTTTTAATTCTAGGCCTTTGATCTATTTTTATTTTATTTTAGTACAGAGTGAGAGATATGGGTCTTGATTCATTTTTCTGCATGCGAATAACCAGTTTTCCTAGAACAAATTGTTAAAGGAGCTATTATTTTCTCCAGCTTGCTTTTGGACCCTTTGTCAAACATCATGTGACTGAAGGTGTCAGCGGTTGTTTCTGTAATCTCTATTCTGCTCCATTGATCTGCACATCTATTTTTGTGCCAGTACAGTTTATTTGCTGTTGTTTTTTTTAACATCTTTTAGAATTCTCTCATTTTGTTGAATTTCTGGAATTTTGATTATGAGGTATCATGTAGAGGTTCTTTTCTGGTCTTGGCTATTTGGGTTTTATATTCCTTTTGATGTTGGACACTGAATTCTTTCTCTAGATTTGGAAATTTTTCCACTGTGATTTCAGTGAACATTTTTTATACTTTCTGAGTCATCTTCAAACTTTTCCTTTATTTCTACAATTCTGTTGTTGGTTTTTAAATTTTGTTTTGTTTTGTCGTCTAGCAGCTGTTGGATCCAGCTTGCATGATGTTTTGTTGTTTTGAGAGTATCACTGAGTTTATATTTTACTACATCTACCCTGTCTTTAATTTCTGACATTCTGTTCTCATTGATTATATCTGCTATCCATGCTTTCTATTGAGTTTTTCATAGGTTGTATTTTTATTTGCTTTTTTTTTTTATAATTTCTAATTCTTTTTTTTTTTTTTTTGTACCAGGGATAAGCTTTCGGGATGTCAAGGGTTTTAGGAATATTTTGTTCCTTGTTTTCTCATATTTCTATTGTTTTTATGTTGCAAGTTGAAGATTGGTTAGGGTACAAAACTCTGTCACTACTGTGGAGATCTCTTTAGTTAGAATTTGTGTCCCTATGATCCGTCTTTGTGTTTGGTTATCTTTTGGTGTTTGTACCCCTTTTTAACCCATTCAGCCTAATATTCTAGAGGTCTTTTTAGTGCCTATAGCAGTTAAGTTTCACTAGAGGAAACTAGAATTTACTAAGTAGGTTTGCAATGGCTACCTGCAGAACCAGGAGTGGCAGAATTCAAAATGGCCCTCTATGCACTGGAAAGGTCAGAGGACCCAGACAAAAGTTGAAGCCCTGGAGCTCACTGCAGAGTCCAGTGTGAGTCTGTGTTAGAAAGCTGAAGAGCCTTCATTGAAAAGCTGAAGAGTCTGCACTGGAAGCCTGAAAGAAGGAGAGACAAACACCTAAAGGCGATGGCAAAGACCAGTATTCCCTCAAAGAAACAAAATAGAAGACTTTCCCCTTTTACTCTGTCCAAGCTTACATGCCTATTAGTTGGTGCCACCCATATCTAGGGTGAGTCTTCCCTCCTCAGTTTGTAGCCTTCATGTCAATCATCCACAGACAGATCCAGAATTGTGTTCTACTTATCTGCTAGGCATTTCTTAATCCATTCAAGTTGACATCACTGTACCTAATCTTCTGCTGGAGGCTTGATTTCCAATACTACTCAAAGAGGATAAAACAAACTGCAGTAATGCTGATGATGCAGAGACAAACCAGATATCGACATACAGTAAAAAATACCATATAGCAACAACCATCTCATCATTGGCCACAGCAAAGAAATCAGCAATAAAGACAAATCAGATATTGATATATACCATAAGAACTAATAAAATATACCCATAAAAATTAATAAATGCAGGCCAGGGATTTAGCTCAGTGGCAAGGTGCCTGCCTCGCAAGCAAAAGGTCCTGAGTTTGATCCCTGATATCACAAAAAAATTTTAAAAAGCCAGAAAAACTAATGAATAATACTACTTTTAACAGAAGAAAAGAGTAATAATAAATAATATAGACACACAGACAAGCCAAATATGGACATATGATAAATATCTACTAAATACAACTGCTATACCACCATTATCAATAGAATATAATTTACCAATAATAGCATAGAATCAACTAAATATCTAAAAATTAATAAAGCTTAACAATAATAATAGAAAGTATGGGGTAAGGGAATAATGAAAGAAGTAAAATTAGAAAAAGAAAAAAGATGACAAGGAAAAGGAGAGAAAAGGGAGATGAATCCAATTAAAGAAAAAAAGAAAGTTAATAGAATTAAGTAAAAGTAGCAGAGAAAAACAAAAAACAAAAGAAATCCAAAAATAAACAAAAAGAGAAGTAAGTCCAAAAATCCCTCTACACGTTTGAGCAAGTGTTTTCTTTCCAGGGCTTATAGTACTGAGATCGCCCATACTGGGGAGGGATAGTGACTCACAGTTAGGGCCTCTTTTGTTTCCATGCCCATTTTCCCTGTGTATGAAGGCTGAATCCTAGAGAGACTGTGATATGCTGCCAGTCTTTTCTGCCATTCTCATAGTCTACCTGTTAAGGTCCCCTCTCTTCTGTTTTTAAGAGCTCTTTATACATATGTATAAACTAATAGGTATTCTCTTTACCTGTAATACATGTTGCAATTATTATTGCTCATTTTCACTTATCTTTATTTTATTTCAAACATTTTGTCTTGAAATTGTTTTAAAGTTATAGAAAAGTGGTCAGAATACTATAAAGAATTATCTTGTACCTCTCATTCAGATTCACCAGTTGATATTTGTCACATTTGCTTTTCTTTCTCTCTCCCTCTTTCTGAACACTTGAGAATATGTATCCCCCTAAAATACTTCAATGTGAAATTCCTGAAATTACCAGACAACAAAAAAACTTAAGTTTATATAGTGTTACCTACTCTGCAGGTTTATTCCAATTTGGCCAATTATCCCCACAAAAAACCTTTACAGATTATTTTTCTGGTCTAAGTTTCAATCCAGGCTTACACCCTGCATTTAGTTTTGTTATCTCTCCAATCTTCTTTCACCTGGTACAGTTCCTCAGCCTTTACTTGTGTTTCATGACACTGACATTTTTGAAAAACAGAAACCATTTATTTTGCAGAGTGTTGTCACTGTGGCTTTGTCTAATGTTTCCTCATGTTTGGAATCGGATTGTGTATTTGTAGTAGAAATATCACACAGTGATGCCGCATCTTTCCTGGTGTAGCACAAGGGACCCATGGTACTGACCTGTTACTGGTCATGTGGACTTAGATCATCTAACTGAAGTGCTAACTACCAAGATTCTGCACTCACTGTAAAGTTCTCTCCCCTTTATAATTTATAAATAATTTGTAAGACAATACTTTGAAACTAGATAGCCTTCTTCATCAAATTTTTACAAACAAATTTTAGCACTTACAAATTACTTGCCTGAATTATTACTCTGGTATTTGCAAAATAGTGATTTAATAAATAATTCTACCTTTTCTACTGTTGTAACTAGTTATCATTCTATTGTTAAGGAGAGCTTTTCCTTTCTGTTTAAAGTCTGTACAGATTTATAGATTCCTATTTTATTCAGTGGGTTATATACTTATTACTATCATTTATTTTGATGTGTGGCAAGAACTTTCTCCCATTCATCAATCACATCTATGTTGTAGTTGTTCTCACTGATTTAAATAGGAGTTGTTTTTAAATGTTCAGTTCTCCATAGTCTGCTTTTGCTTCTTTTCCTCTTGCTCCCTCTTTCTTGAAAACATGGTTTCTTGCCTATGGCTAAGCATTCTTGGTTGCCCATTCAGCTAAAAACTTAAAGGAGCGTGCAGGCTAATGCAATGGTTGGCAATTTCCTCTTCAGTTGTATGAGTCTCTTCCTTAAAAGGCTTCTCCCGAATACAGGGGCACTGTTGCCTCCACATACTGCCCATGTATGCTGACAGCAGCTTTACTTTAGAGTGTGAGACTGGGGAGCTGCTCACTACTTAACCTCCTACCCCTTGAGAAACAGGGGGCTTTGCCACAGAACTCCAGCCATCCACATTGGAAACTCTTACTCTCTCCCTAGGCAGCTTTTGTGATGTCTTAGGCTGACAGCATACCCAGGTTTGTCTTGAAGATGAACTCAGAGCTGTCAGCTCTCCTGCAGCCCCATGGATGGGACAAGGGAGTACTTAGGCATTACAGGCTGCAGGAGGGGAACTGGCACAGCCTTGCCACAGGCAACTTTCTAGCACACATTTCCTCCACAGTTTATGTGCCACCTCCCACACTAGCTCTCTCTACCTGGCAAGTCCAGGCTTCCAACACTCCTGGAGGAGATGGGCTCCAGGTGAGGCTCCAGCCCTCCTTCTGGCAGTGGTAGGTCCCTCCATCTGTTTACCTGTCAGTGTGTACCTTTTCACGGTCTGCCTTCCAAACATGTTAATAACTTCTATGTGATGATAAAGCTGCTTCCGCTCTCCACATTGCTGGGGGTTTATTTCCTCTGGAACTTCTGTCATGATTTCTATAGACTTTGGAGAGAAGATGGGGAGTCAAATATATGTGCTTCTCTCCTCCTGATCTAAAAATCCACACTTCTTTTATAAGACGGCATGGTGTTAAGGGCATTTGACTGGGAGATAGACTAGAGTCCGTGTGCTAATTCCACCTCTACCTATAATATCCCCATGTTCTTACATTTCTTTTCTTGACTGGTCCTTTACAGCCTCAACACTCTGAGATTATTCAGGGAACATTTTTCCCAAATAGCTGTTAACTGTGAGTTGACTCTGTGAGCCTCCTCCTGACATTTGCTCCTGCCACCCCAACGCATGATAAGTGAACATTTGTGTCACCTTCCTCTTTCTCACAGTCCAAAAAATGTCAAAGGTTTTAAGCAGGAAGAGCATCAGGAGCAAATTATTCATTGAGAATTGAGGGCTGCGGAGTCTCAAAATGATGCAAGGCCCTTTCATCCCCTTTCTATTTAAAAATCTGACAACAACAGTGAACTCTACTCTTTCTTAAGAACTGTATTTCCTCAAAAGGAGAAGTCGCTAAGAAGAGCTTAAGTTAAATGGGTATGAGAAGTAGGCGAAGAACAGATACATGGTACTACCACAGTGGAGAGAATGTATTAATTTATCCAAAGACATAACCCACCTCTTCTAATTAGACCCCCACCCGACAGCAAAGGACACTTAAAGCACAGCCTTTGCCCTCCAGGCATCTACAGTTTTATCAATCAGATTTTTAGTCATGGAGTCAAATTGTAGAGAATCAGTCAAGGATTTTCTGATAAATCTGGCAATGCATGAGGTTTCACTGGGTGCAGACAATAGCCTAGAGGGTACAGTCTGTCGTTGCTAAAATATTGCCAAAGACTGGAATGGAAAATGTGAATCTCATCAAGAAGGAGTCCTTGAAGCACACTTCTCAGAGGTGAGTGAGACAACAGGGAAGAAAGTTTGCCAAGATGGCATGCCAAGCTGATACAGCAAGAGTGGATGGAGGTAGTAAAAGCCAGCATCTCAGCTCACCCTGCACCATTTACTCATACAGGAGAGGCTTGCTAAAGTTAGTCAGAAATGGTATAGATCTTAGGCAGAATATTTGGATAAAGAGCGTATTGTTTATAATATGGATTAGAAAAATGAGATATGGTTTACTTAGGCCAGTTTTAGCATTTGCTACAGATATCTCTTGTTGTATAACTGTCCACCCCAGGAGCTAGCAGCTTAAAAACACATTTTATTATACCTTATTTGGTGGGCCAGAAATTTGAGTGAGACTTAGTGGAACAATTCATTATGGTCTAAATGAATGTGCTTGGTAACCTCAGGTGTGGTGCTCATTTGGTGGTATTCATAGGCTGAGCTGGAGCATCCAAAACACCTTCTCTTTCCTGCCTGGTACCATGGTGATGGATGGAAGCTGTGCCAAGCTGTTACTGTTAACAGGAGTGCCCACGTATAATCATTTCAGCATAGCAGTCTCACAGTAACTGGACCTCTTGAGAGGTGGTTCAGAACTCCAAGAGAAAGTGTTCCAAGAGATAGGAAATGGAAGCTGCTAATGTCTTAAGGCCTGAGCAAGGAAAATGCCCCAGTACCACTTTCCTTATATTATATGTCATCATAGAGCAGTCCAGACTCCAAGGGAGAGAAAACAGACTTTACTTTTTTAGGGGTACCGGGGATCGAACTTGGGACCTTGTGCTTGCGAGGCAGGCAGCGGAACCACTGAGCTAAATCCCCGGCCCAGACTTTACTTTTTTGGAAGATCTATTGAAGAATTTATGGTCTCCTTATACCAGTACAACACAAAAGAAGAGACTAGAGGGTGGAATTCTACATTATTCTACTCACAGAGCGACTATAATGGGCAGGGTTCTCAGAGACACAGAATCAATAGGATATACAGAGATATATGAGAAGAGATTTACTGGGGAAGTAGCTCACATTATTATGGAAATTGAGGAGGCCCAGAACAGGCTGCTTGAAAGCTAAAGAATCCGGGATGCCAGTAGCATGGCTCAGTCCAAATCTAAAGGCCTGAGAACCTCAGGTAGAGGAGGATTCTGATGTAATTCCTGGAGTTCAAAAGCCAAAGACTCTAGAGTTCTGATATCCAAGGGAGGAGAAGAAGAATGTATGCCAGCTCCTGGAGACAGAGAGAGTGAGACCATACCCTTTCCTTTGTTTTTGTTCTATCTGGGCTCCTAGCCTATTGCTCACCCACAATGAGACAGGATCTCCCTACTGCATCCATTGACTCACATGCCAATCTATACTCCCAAATAATGCTGTATTAGTTCTCTTGGTATTCCTTAACTCAGTGAAGGAGACACCTAGAATTAATTAACACAGCACTGATTTTCCCAGGACTAAGCCATTTCCAAGGACTTTTGGAGCTAAAGTCAAGTCACTCCAGGCTGAGTCAGCTGGTCCTTCTGCTCAGCTCCACTCTTGATCACCTCAACTCCAACAGACATTGAGGGTCTTCCCAGTTTTCGGGCATCTTCTTGTAAGGGGTATGTATTTATGTAGGTATATGATTCAAGGAGATATTCAGGAAACTGCTTTCAGAGACTGAGGCTTCTGAATATAAGGAGAATTAAATGCACTACAGTAGAAAAGCAAATTAGGCAAGGAATGTTTCATGTTGTCTTTCCCACAAGTCACTGTCAGAGCTTATTTTCACCTCATGTGGCTTGCACTTTGCTCTTCCTCTGAATCCTCCATAGCCAAGTGTCCACAGTTGGAGGAATATCTCAGTGTAGCAAAAGAGCAGAGAATACAGGTTCAAATTCCTCCTTTGCCACACCTATTATAATGTGACTTTGAGCAGATCTTAATCCTCTCTGAGTTCTAGTTCCTTCATCTCAAAAGAAGGGATGATTTTTTTTTCCATAACTTCATCATATTGGTTTTAATTTTTACTGTGAAGTTCAGTGTTGATAGTACATTATGCACCAGCATTTAACAAACATCATAAAATTATTTTACTGACCCTGGACAAGTTAACCCATCAAAATGTGAAGGCCCACGGGCACCTGTGGGGGCTTCTGCCAAGAGACACTGGCTACTACCTTTCAGAACTGAAGTTCTCTATTCACTTCCCATTGTTTGCTTTTAAGGGGATTATTAATTTGCTTTGGATGGTTCAGAAGGGATGATTTTTACCTGCTTGTCCACTTCTGAAGATCTATATCAATGTGGCGAATGTTTTAGAGGTTTACAACCCAAACCCACTTATTTAGCACAAAGTGCCAACACTACAATTAAACCTGAATATCTGATGCTCAGCTGCTGGAGCAACTTGGCTGACAGTGAGGGCTCTGAGTGCCTGCTGTGGCACACGTGCCATCGGTTCGCCACCACTGGTCCATATGCTCATCAAATAAGAAATCATATATGTGTTCAACATATTTATCAATGACTTAGATGTTCTTGGATAGCATAACAGAATTTTGAGGCCACATGCACCTTTGGAAGGAATTCTAGTACAACACATAATACTCAGTATTCAAAATGATTTAACAGGCTAGAATGCTAAACTTATTGAGATGAGCTTCAACAGAAAAAATGAAAAGTTTTGAACTTTAGTTTTAAAAAAATCTCAAGTACAAAGTGAAGAACATGGATTAGCAGCAAAACATGTGAGAGGATTATGGAGGTTTAGTTGACAGTAGTCTGAGTATGAGTCAACAGTACCACATGTCTACCAAAAAATTAAAGCCAGAACAGCCTGGGCTGACTGAGTGAAGGTTGTTCAGAACTATATCACGAGAGTGATCAGCATTCTTTAATCTGAAATGGAGGAGTCACATCTGGAGTATGTATTCATTTGAGGATCTCAGCATTTTAAAGGATTTGAACATCAACTGAAGCCTGCCAAAGAAGAATGTACAAAATGGATTGAGAACCCCAAACTTAGGATGGCTAGCCTAAAGAACCAAAACACCAGGATTAATGGACAGATTTCTTTAAATACACAAGAAGTAAAAGATTGATTTGTGTGGCCTCAAGTACAAAGAATTAAGGCCAGGGTGTAGGATCTTCAGAAAACTAGATTTTATCTATTATAAGGAATAAGCTTGTACAGAACTGGGTCCAAGCCAAGGGACTTTCCTTGAAGCAGAGCTTAGAATGAAGCTGTCGAGTGCTAGGGCACAAGGACCATAAGTCAGACTATATTTTCTAAAGACAGCAATGCCAGTGTATATCCCAACACACTTGTTCTTACAGTGTGATGTTACTTCTCCCCCATTTATGGACAGAACAGAAATTATCTTCCCTGAATTAGAGCAGATCTTTGTTACTGTCTTGACTAGTAGAGAAAATCATACTGTATGACTTCCAAAGATGTTATAAAAAGTACACATCTTCTTCCCAGCTCTCTCTTGGTATTCTTTCCCTGGGAACCCATTATCCATGGTATGAATAAGCCCAGCAGCCACATGGAAAAGCCTCATGCGTGTGTTCTAGCTACAGCACCAGATGATTAAGTCATCCCAGCTAACAATCAACATCAACCACTACTTATGTGAGCAAACAAACCTTTCCCCTTCTTCCAACCTTCAAGATGTTGTACCCAAGGCCCTAAGCATTATGGGGCTACATCCTGCCTGAATTTCTGACTTACAGAACCCAGAACATAATAATGGTTGTTTTATACTTTGAAGTAATAGCAAAAGTGACTGGAAAAGAGTTTTACCTAAAGAGTACTGTTACGGTTTATATTTGGATGTCACCCAAGAGCCCATGCTCTCATAGGTGGGGTTTTTAGAAGAGGATTAGAGCATGGAGCCTATTGCTAACTTGCTCTTAGGAGTTGGGGCCTGGTTATAGGTGGGTCACTGGGCGCATGGCCTGGAAGGGCATATTTCCCTTCTCTGATTGTCCTTTTGCTCAGTTTCCTAGATGCCATCATGTGAGCAGCCAGGTCTTCCCACCATGCCTTCCTGCCTTGAAGCCGGCCAACTATCGACTAAAAATATGAGCCAAAATAAATCTCTCCTTGTTTAAACGGCAAGTATTTTGTCCCAGTGATGAGGAAAGTGACCAAGACAAGTACTGTAGCTCTCTATCCAAGAGGAAGCATGAGAAAGCCTGAGTGATGACTAGGACAGGAAGGACGGGATATCAAAAGGTGGGAAAGGGTATTGGGAGAATAAAGTAAGGAGCAAGGGATAGAACAAATGGGATCAGAGGATTCAGAAGCTAAATATGAGATCAGAATGTAAAGGAGCTAAATCTGAGAACATGAGACCTGTAGGCCTGCAGTAAGTAGATGTTTACTTTACAAAGCACCTGGCCTATCTTACAACAAGGAATGAATGGTTCCATGTCAGGAAGTTAGAGAATGCTGTTTCGGAAATCAGTGGGAGTGTTTAAGCTTATGTAGGAAAGATTTGGATATGATGCGTGACTGGACTAGATGATCTTTAATATTCCTTCCAATCCTGAAATTTTATGAAGTTCTTAGAAAATAATAAAACATGGTGCAGATGCTATTATTTAGTATTAATGGATAGTATTTATGGATCTTATAAAAGGTTTTCTGTCAGTCAACTTTCTATCACTGTGACAAAATACCTGAGACAATCAACTTCTTAAAGAAAAGGGTTATTTTGGCTCATGATTTCAGTCCATGGTAACTGAGCCCCATCGCCTATGGGCCTGTGGTGCAACAATACATTATGTGGGATTGAATGGCAAGAAAATTTCTCACATCATGGCAGCAAAGCAAAAAAAAGAGAAGCAGGAGGGTGCTTGGTTCCCAAAAACCCTTAAAAGGCACACTCCAGGAGACCTAACTTCCTCCCACTAGGCCTTCCCTCTTAAATGTTCTAACATTTCCCACTACCACCACAGGCTGGAGACAAACACTTTGGGGAGATTTAATATCCAAACTATAGCAGCCTTATCAGAAAGATGTGGGTATCAGAAAGAAAGCCAAGTCAAAAGATAAATTATTCTAACCTAGTTGGAGGAGACAAGTGGAAGCTGTTGGTGGCAAGGTACAGTAGATTCCCAAAACTTCATCCATCCTACTGTGACCTTTAGTCACACATCAGATTTGAGGCATCAAGATTTATAAACTTAAAAAGATGAGAATGGATGATGAGCAAGAAAGAAGTCCATACAGGAAGCAGATAATACTTTAACCAAGCATTTAAGAATAGAAAAGAGGCAACCCTAATTCATGTGGCCATATTTGTGAAACAAATTAAGACATTACTAGAGAATAGAGGTAAAGACAACCAACATAAAATAGCAGCTCTTGCCTTATGCTTTCCAAATAGTGCATTACATCCCTATTGATCCATTTGTTACAATAGCTTTTAATTATTTGATCAATTGGACTGACTTTTAACTTCTAAAGAGTATGGATTTGATATCTTCTTGTCCCCAGTGATTTACATAATATTTAAAAACACCAACAACTCAATAATTGTATGATAAGTGTGCAGACAAAGGGAATAGCTAGCTGGCTGGCTGGCTGGCTGGCTAAAAGGATGGATAGAAGGATGGATGGATGGATGGATGGATGGATGGATAAATGGATGGATGGATGATAATGTTTTTGGATCCATGAAGGCTGGGAAGCCTACCATACAAGTGTGGATTTGTTCTTCTAGTGCTTTGATATTTTGCAGGGAACATTTCATGGTCCTGTTATGGTTTATATCTAGATGTCCCCCCAGAGCCTTATGTGCTCATAGGTAAGGCTTTTGGGTGGTGATTAGATCATTCAGGCATGATACTCAGCAGTGGATTAGTCCACTAGCGAAATGTTTTGTTGGGAGATGAAACCTGGTCTGAGGAGGTGGGTCACTAGGGGCATATCATAGAAGGTTTTATCTTCCTCCCTCTGCCCTTGATCCCTCTTTCTGCTTCCTGCCTATTATGCCATGAGCAAGCTTCCTCTATCATGGCCCTTTGCTAGGCCACTCTGCCTTAGAGCCAACCAACTATGGACTGAAATCTCTACAAACTGTGACCCAAAATAAACCTTTCCTCCTTTGAGTTATGTTGTGTCTCAGCAACAGGAAGGTAGTTGAGACAGGTCCTAAAACTGAAAGACTCTGTATTTTTAAGCATTTTGCTTCTCCTAATGACTATAGCTAACCGCCATTGTCTTCTTTTGAGTTATCCAAGTAGCAGGTGACAAAGATTTAGGTCCAAGTACCTTATTGGATAGGTGATCCAAGGAAGCACTGGTAAGAGAGAGGGGAATTAAGACAGTCAAAGGAAGGAAATGAGTAAAAGGGAATTAATGAGTTGACTCCTATAGGAAACTGGGGTTTAATCCTTATGTGAATCTCTGGTAAATAGTGAAGAAGACATCTGAGAGTTGGCTCACCCAAGGAGCAAGGGACCTGGACTATTTATCCACCAGCTACCATCTCTCATTGGGTGTGCACAACTCCTGATCAGGTTAACTCTCAGTATTTCTGGTCTTCCCCCAGTGCAAGCAAAGTAAGTACCTGTGGCCAAAGAATGGAAAGTCATGAGTTCCTGGGCAAGAAGTCATCTACCATAGATAAGGTGAGTGCTGAGGGATTAACTGAAGGGAACCTACAACATTTGCTAAGAGTTTCCTCCAATCTATTCCCCAACACCCTGATCTTTTGCATGGGGACAAAGATGAGGCACCTGAGTGCCAGACCACTCTCTGGTCTTGGGCTGAGGGGGATTTCTTCTTGGCAGGGAAGCTGAGGTCAATCCCATGTCACATTCACTGTGATATATTTGGGTACTCTAGAAGCTACACAGTTATTTACTGTCCTTTCTCAAGCTTTATACTACATCCTTTCTACCTATCCCCATGCTGTACTTATGCTTCAGTTAATTCTTCCTCTTATACACAGCTATATTTTTTTCATCAAAATGTTGTCATTAAAACCCTTTGCTTTTGCAAAGTTCCTTGTCTCTGCCTCACTTTTCCACATGTCGTAGCACTGAAGAGACCCGGGAAGGTCTGATAGTGATAAAGAACTTGAGGCTGAGGAACTGGAAATAACTTTCACAAGGTTACCTAGCGAGATTAAAACAGAGCTAGGACTAGAATCCAGATCTCTAGATTCTAGGCTAAAAGTTGACAAACTACAGCCCCTTGGGCAATCCAGTTTACTTTCTGGTTCTGTAAATAAAGTTTAATAATGACATGAATTTATATATTATATTTAGCTCCTTTCATGCTACAACAGCAGATTTGAGTAGTTGCAACAGCAAGTACATGGCCCACAGAGCCAAAATATTTATTATCTGGCCCTTTATAGAAAATGTTCACCCTTTTCTAGGCCATCGCTTTTTCTATTATCCCCTAATAATTTAATTAATAATTGATTTAATAATTTAATTTCTAAAAGTCTCACCTTATGTACAGTCACAATATCCTCTCACATATAGTCTTCCATGTATATTTCACGGTAACCTATAAAAGTATGCAGATGAGAAAATTAACCCAGAGAAAGATGAAATGACATGTCCAAGATTACTCACCTGGTTAAGCAGAAGAAAACTCAAATCCACTTCTTTGGTCCTTAAGTCTACTGTTACTGCCCAGCCTCTGCTCCCCAAGCTCTGTCATGACTGTCCTTATTTTAATTCCAAAATACTCATCCACCCAAGCTTTAGGCTCCTTTGATAGATATGTGGCTTTTTGCATGGAGTGAGTAATATTAGGGGTATATCTCTCTTGTTTTTCTTGCTGCTCAAATCCAAACCTTCCATCTTGCCTCTTATCTTTTGGTCTCATATCCACCTTTAGTTTAACATCTAAATACCCACGTATTTGGTCAGTCATCTCATTCAATGGACTCATGACTTTCTGTATGGCTTGAGTAATAATTATATGTCACTCACGTTTCCTTTTTCCTCTAGTACAAGCTAAATTTTAAAAATCCAAGATCATACTTGGCTACCGCAGCAAATCAAATCCCTATAACATTTTCTAAAGTACTTTCTCTAAATGTCTCTAAAATCCATATATTACATCTTTTTCTCATTGTAGACTGGTGAGCAGTCCAGTACCAGCCCACACTGTGAGTGGCACAGGAAGAACCCCATCTTTATTTTCTGAGATGTGCTGGTTTTCTTTTATGTGCTCCTTACTATGTTCCTCTTCCACCTTCTCATTACTGGCTTTGATTACTTCCTTATTTCTCTGTATGAAGTAGGATTGAGGAGGTTTTTGTTCCTTGATAAACTCTGCTTACCAAAAATATACTCGCTCCTGGTTTATTTATCCTCCAGGGAATGACACACCAGGCCAGGCTCTCTGTCACTCTGAGGACTCTGTCTACATTTGGGTGGCATATGCCATGTAGCCAGAGCCAAGGGAGGGACTGTTTAACATCTCTGTGACAGGAAGTGTCACTTCCTCATTGGGATCCAAGCTGAAAATAGATTTCCCTACTGGGTAGAGTCAGTGTAACCATAACACTAACTCTGTCTTCTCATTACTCTGAGAACTACTTCTCCCCTTTGCTCTCCTCCACACCTGGAGAAAGCCCTGCTTGATTGATTGACTGACTGCATTCCTCCTTGATCATATTATTCTGAATATCAAGTAGCCAGAACATTCATTGACTGACAGTTACCTTGCTGGAAAGCCTACTTGTTCCCATTGATTCAAATCTCCCTTAAAGCTACTAAGAATAGGTACATGGGCATTTTCTTAATTAGAAGAGATGGGGCATATTTTAAACTACACCAACCTCATCTGAAGTGTTAATTGCTGAAATACACTGTGAAATAACACTTTTAAATGGATAAAATTTTGGCCTTTATTCCTGGTTTGTGTTTAGACTTTGATGACTAAATTTCTTTAGAAGACAAATTATTTTGGGAACAGTTTGGGAATAGAACTGGCTTCAGTTCAAATTAAAGTTTATCACGATCATGAATTTGCCCCCTTCATCTCCATCTTTTAGCTCTGTGGTTTAATTCTCCCTCGTTTCAAAGGCAAGAGATCGCAACACTGACAGAGGCAGGAAAGCACTGTGGGAAGGGAAGGAGCGTCAGACTCTGGGACGCCCTTTACAGGTAAGTGCTGTTGGGAGTACTAGGAAAGAAAAAGGTCCACTTTCAGTCACTGGGAATTTTTGTAAAGATCTAAAGTACTAAACTTTTCAAAGATGCAAGGCATGTCTTATTAAATTAAAATCTTGAACAAATGCCAAAAAAGTACTGTAGTTTTAGAAGCCTTTGACAAATGTAAAGATTCTGTTTCCTCAGTCCATCAAAGTCCCATATCCCAGGAAAACTGAGACTAACAGCTTTCAAAACAATTTAAATCCCTAAATCACAACATTCTGTAAGCTTGTGGGCTATCATCAGAATTCAGGGTAATCCAAAGATCATCTTCCTTTTTCCTGGACTTCCTCATTCATGATGATTTTAGCATCTTATGTTTAAAAATAAGGACAACATGACATGATGCCATTTTCCCTCTGCTGTTTAAACAAAAAAGAATTGCTGAATTCACGCATGACTGTCACTCACAGCCCCAACATGCCACTGACACTTTTTTAAAATTATTTTTTCTTTCAACCTAAGGGTGACAATTTCTGCATAAAATAAATCCTCCATCAATCCAGAAGCAAAATCATTCCACTTTTTTGGCACACCACATTTCATGGAAGGAGAAATTGGAAAGAAATCCAGCTGATAGACAGCACATTTGTTTAAAGCAACTTCCCAGTCTGTCTCCCAGAGTTACATAGGCTACATCCACTGATTTCTTCCTCATTCTGCATCTGTGGATTTGGTCGGTGCTGATTGGTCAGTTAAAATGTTAAAATTGGTTAGTTAAAATGTTGACTGTTAGATGTGTTAAGATAATGACCATCAAATGAAGAGTAAATATTATTTGATACACTATCCTTGCTAAAACAAAAAATTAGGCCAGACCATTTCAATATGAGTCAAACCTTCATTTTAACTGATTAAAAAAACTGGAATCCAAATTCTTTGAGTATTCAGGCTAAACTGTTACATCATCTGTAAAATGAGAGCACTCCTCTAGAAAGTTCTTCACTGATCCCACAAATACTTATTAAGTGCTTAATTTGTGACAAACGGGGAGTTCAATACTGGGAATATAGGCTTCAACAAAGCCTATTCATACAACTTATAGGGTAGGGGAAGATATATATTAAACATATCATAATATAAATAATTCACAATTGCAATTGTGGTAAGTGCTATAAAGAGAAAGTATGAGGTATTATAAAAATCTATATATCATATGGACAGAGGGCCTAATCTAAGATTCTTAAATCCCAGCAGTAACCACAGGTACAAAGGCACTGAGGTCTAAAGGCCCTGCTCTTTAGAGAAAATGGGAGTAGCAAAATAGAGCCAAAACAATATAAGTGTGTAACCAGAGATAAGGCCAGAGATCAAGCAGTGACTAGATCAATCAGAACCTTGTTGAGCAAGGGAGACTTTATCCAAATAGCAATGGGAAATGGTGAATGAGACTTCTATTGGTCCCCTAATATCTGTCCTATCGTTCTTCCTCTAGCAACAAAATCCCTGAAGTCTAGGTAGGCATGTGGCTGCTGAAAATAAAAAGTACATTTCCCAGAATCCCATTTGATTCCATTCTGGCCAATCAATTGGGCATAAGCCAAAGTTGTGGAAGCAAGTTCCAGGAAGTGTCCTTAAAGAAGAAGGTATGTTCTTTTCTCCATGTGGTAGACACACTAACATGATTGTAGGAGTTTGAGTAGTCACCTTGGACCAGGAGGCAAAAGCCACATTCTGGGGATGGCAGCACTAGATGAGAGAACCCTGAGCACCTGTCATCAAGGGAAACACACTAGTCCTGGATGGAGACCCCTGGGCTTCTACTTGAGGGGAAAATGACACTGGATTACACTTTTGATCAAGCCACTCTTATTATAGGTTTCCAATCAGTCTTCAATAATTGATAATGAAATCATTTCTTAAAAATTGAATTTAAAGAAAGCCTTTCATGATGAGGTTATGATCTCTTAAATCAACAAATTTCTATGACTTTTACCACATACTTGAATATTTAATATAAGAAACAAACCAAGAAAAACTTTCTTGCTTACTCATTGATTTTTTTTTCATTCATTCACTTAATCATTTGGCACCTGCTATATACAGAGCACTAGTAGGTATTGTAGAAGGAAAAATTCACCAACCATTTGATGCCCACCATACAAGGACTTATAATTTAGAAACACAGGAAGCAGTCACTAATAAAATGCAGATGACCAATTAAGACAGTTAAGGAAAAGCTAATGTTAAAGACATTCATGGAGATAACAAAGCTATAATGCATTGAGTCCAGGAAAGCTACCCCACAGCTCCAGTTAGTAAAATGCCTCTACTCCTGTTTAGAAGCTATCTAAATGCATACTCTAAGACACAGAGTTTCAGCACAGTGAGAAACTTTAGAGAAAGCTTTTATTTGTTCAATTCAGCAATTAATAAGACTCTGCTGGCCTGGTGCCCGGGACTTGCCTGGTTGGGGTCTGTGGCGCGGAAAACGTGGCAGGCCATCTGCGACTCGGGGTCGTCGGGCTGCTCTTTGATCAGATACTAAAGAAAGTTTCCTCAAACTCGAAAGATGGATACGAAGAAAGAGAGAAGAAGAGGGCTTAGATCCTGTGAATCTCCAGAGGGGCTATCTCGGTTGTGTCCCCCTTGGCTGACCCGGTGAAGGGGGACCGTGGAACCCCAAGCAGAAGCCTATGCTGCCTTACCCAGGAGTTGCCCAGAAACTTACAAGACCTCAGCATTTTCCCATGCCCATCATGCAAAGAAAGCAAGAGAAGGAAGGCGAGAGATAGGCAGACAATCAGAAACAGCCTCTGGAAATGACCGATATGACATGTATGGCAAAGCGACCGGCAGCCTGTCTTTTCATGCAGCAAGAGAAGAGGGACAGACAAGCCAGAACAGCACATGAAACAGGCCTTGCTGTCAGGAGGATGACAAGGCAGTCTGCTGCCCTGCCTACCCGTACTAGGACATATAGCAAAGGCCCAAGATAATGGCACTGGAGGAGGTCTAGACATCATCAGATCCAGCCTGAAGCTGAAAGAAGAGGCTTCAGAAAGAATTCTTTTAAAAAATGTGTTTGTTGTTGTGCAGGAGAGAGACAATGACACAGAATATATAGTATAATTGAATTTCTGGTTCATATAACAAGTTGGCTTAGTATAGAAGGTCTCAGTCACCCAGAGTCCAAATATATAAAAATGCTACTTCCATAGGAAAAAAATCTTAAGTAGCTATGAAAACAAGAAAAAAATTTCCAGTGCCAGAAATGAAGAGTTAAGTCAAAACTAGAGTGGTAAGTGCACCTGAAACTAATGGCTTATGAGATACTGAACCTAGAACTAGATCCCATTGGCTAGGGAAGACATTTTGATGTCCATGTGGGATTAGAGATGAAGCTAATAGAAGTTGGGAGCTGAAACTGAGCTCTCTGATCAGAGACAGAAGCTACAGCCTGACAAGCTGTCTCATATGTCATCAGCCAGTTGACAGGGAGAAGCGAGGATTGGCATAGCCTGAATTAACATTATGCGTATCATGGGAGAAATGGAAGTTAAAAATAAAAACAATCCTGACTAGTGAAAAAAACAAAAAAAAGACTCTGCTGACCTGAGCAGACCACTCAAGCAAAGTAAATAGGCAAAGATCATTTCTTCCTTTGAAATCAGGGATTAACAAAGAAAACTCAGGCAAACATTGGGCTTCAAACACCTGCTGATGAAATCTGTTTTGTCACTGTTATTGCCAAAGCCAGTCCTCAACCATGGGTTTATCAGAGTTGCTGAGATCTTACTTAAGAACTAATGCTGCAAGTCGCGCAGAACGCGCCGAATCAGCCCGCGCCGAATCAGCCCGCTGCAGACAGGCAGGTCTGCGGACGCCCTAGCAACGTCGCCAGTCGCACGGAACTCGCCGAATCAGCCCGCGCGCCCTGGCAGCAATCCACTAGACACCACCCCCCACCCCGCTCCTCGGTACAGCCACCTGGTTCCACAGTACAAAGGTGCAGAGGACACCGGACCACCAGACCACTGTACTGGGTAAGTTGGAGTCATCTTCACCTCCCATCAGGACCAGGACTGTCTTCAGGGGAAGGGCAGCTGCAACCTGCAATACAACTCTGCAGAGTCCAACCCTACAGGAGGACAGGGAGCTCAACCTGGGACTTGCAGCCAGAAATCTGCCTGGATCTCATGGGTCTGCGACCAGCTTGCTGAGACTCATTGACTTATATCTGCACACTGCTGCCCACGCTGTCTATTGTGACAGCATAGACATACCCTGAAAGAGGCCCTTCATCTTCATGGTTATTTTTTATTCCCAAAATTAGTTTTATTATTTGGGGTTTTTTCTCTTTTCTTTCTTTCTTTTTTTTTTTTTTTGCTCCTCTTATCTTTAAATTTTTCCCTACTCTTTGCAAATATTTGCTTTTCTCTCCTTTTTTTCTTTTCTTCTTTCTTTTCTCTTTCCTTTCTCTCTCTCTTACACTCACTTTCTTGCTCTCCCACATTGTTCATCTTTCCTTTTTGTCCCGGTTTTGGTCCTCAGTCGGAGTCCTTCTTTATTTTCCTATTATTCTCTTTTTCCTTCTCACCTGTGTCCTCTGGCCACACTGCTAACCTTCCCCTATCCTTCTTCCCATCTATCCCTCCCTTCCCAACCCCTTCTAACTCCCCATCCCAAAGGGTA